GTAAAGTAAAAAAATAATAAAATAAAAGCAGAAAATAAAAACAAAAAAACAAAATGGTAGCCATAAAGATGGCTCAACTTGTAAAGGCACTTGTTGCCAAGCTTGATGACCTGAAATTCCCTAAAACCCACATGGTAGAAGGACAGAACCTCAAAAGTTGTCTTCTGAAGCCAGGTGTGCTAGTGCACATCTCTAGCCCCAGCACCTGGGAGGCAGAGGCAAGTAGATCTCTGTGAGTTCAAGGCTAGCCTGGTCTACATAGCAAGTCCCAGGCCAGCTGGGACTACAAAGAGACCCTGTCTCAAAAAACAAAAAAAAAAAGTTGTCTTCTGACTGCCACACATACAAGTAATGTGCCCACAAATACACAATTAAATAAATAAGTGTTTTTGCTGGTTTTTAAAAAATTTGCATTCTCTAAACCCCAACTTGCTTTATTATTATTTTTTATTATTTTTATTTTATGTGTGTGAGTGTTATGCCTGCATGTAAGTAAGTGCACTATGTTATGCAATGCTCATGGAGGCCAGAAGAGGCTATCAGAGCCCCTGGAACTGGAGTTACAGTTACATTCGAACTCAGGTCTTCTGCAAGAAGAGTCAGTGTTCTTAACCACTGAGCCATCTCTCTAGCTCTCTTTATTATTTTTTAAAAACTTAAAATTTTTATGTATATGAGTGTTTTGCCTGCATGTATGTAAGTGTACTGTGGAGGCCAGAAGAAGCAGTCAGATCCCCTGGAACTAGAGTTACTGATAGTTGTGAGCTGCCATGTGGGTGCTGGGAACTCAACTTGGGTCCTCTGCAAAAGCAGCGATTACTCTTAACCACTGAGTCATATTTCCAGGCCCTGGGTTTTGTTTTTGTTTTTTGAGACAGGGTCTCACTATGTAGTCCCTGGCTGGCCTGACACTATGTAGATCAGACTAGCCTCACTGAGATCTGCCCGTCTCTGCCTCCTGAGTGCTGGGATTAAAAGCCTGAGCCACCACTCCTGGCAGTAAGTGTAATTTTTTTTGAGACAGGGTCTCCCAATAGCCCCAGCAGGCCTGGAACTCACTATGTAGACCAGGCTGGCCTCAATCTCACAGAGATCCACCAGTCTCTCCCTCTGAAGCACTGGGACTAAAGGTGTGTGCTACCATGCCCTGCAAGTGGAAATTTTTAATTATAAAAAACAAGGTGGGTCTGGGACCTGGCTCAGTTAGTAAAGTATTTGTTGCTTATGTATGAAAACCTCAGTTTGATCCCCCAGAACCCATGTAAAAAAGGTATGCACAGGCCTGGAGAGATGGCCAGCAGTTATAAGCACATACTGCTCTTGCAGACCTGAGTTCAGTTCACAGCACCCTCATTGGGCAGCTCACAACATCCTGCAACTCTAGCTCTAGGAGACCCAATGCCTTCTTCTGGCCACCACTGGCACTGCACTCACATACACACACAATTAAAATAATAATTTTAAAAAACTAAAAATAGGGGCTGAAGAGATGGCTCTGTGGTTAAGAGTACCAGCTGCTCTTGCAGAGGACCCAGGTTTGGTTTCCAAAACTCACATGGCAGATAACAACCACTAATAACTCTAATTCCTGGGGGGATCCGATGCCCTCTTCTGGCTCTAGAGGCATTGCACACACATGGTGTACATACATACATGCAGGCAAAACACTCATACACATTTTTTTTAAAAGTACAAAAGAAATCTAAAACAAAAGTCAGGTGGCTGTGAGCACATGTAATCCCAGAGCTGGGGAGGCTGAGGCAGGAGGATTCCCCAGCTTGCTAGTCAGCCAGTCTAGCCAATCAGCAGTCTCCAGGTTGTGAGAGACCCTGTCTCAAAAATAAGGTGGGGCCCAAATATTCCCTGATTAATGCATCTCTCAGCTCTCACTAGAGAAGCTTCCTTATGCAGCAGATGATGATTAGCACAGAGACCCACAACTGGCCGATGTGCAGAGAACAAGAGGTTGGACTGCTTAGCCCTGAATAGGACACCTATATCAAAACTGTTTGTCCCAAGGCTCCGGGGGGAGGTTGTACAAACCAGTGGTGGGAGATGACCACAAGGAAACAGTTTTCCAGACACCTAGGCAGTTATTCATATAAATTCACAGTAATGATGGCAGTACCCGCAAGTCACACAAAATACCAACATGGATGAGGGGAAGTGGGTCAAAAACCCCAACCCTACCTGAGGAAGAGTCAGTCTCATTTAAGGGTGTGGACTCTTGATAGGTTAGCCAGGCTCCAGTGAATGGAATGGACCCACACCAAAGGACATTTGGGGACACAAATTTGACTATATATATAAAACATGAAGTTGGGTGAGGGGCACTAAAGGTAGTGCAGATAGGGGAGGGGATCTAAATATGGTAAAATATATGAAATTCATAAAAATTCAGCCAGGCATGGTGGTACATGCCTTTAATACCAACATTTTGGAGGCAGAGCTCTCAAAAAAGACCAAAAAAATCATAAAAATTCAATTAAAAAAAGAAAAAAATAAGATGGAGAGTGACTGAGGAAGGCACATGATTCTGACCTCTGACCTTCCCCCACATGTACACAGACATATAGACACATACACACACATAAGCATGGTGGACTGTGTATGAGAAATGGCTATCAAGGTTGCCCTCTGGCTTCCAGGCATACATGTGCACATATACAAGCATAAAAAGAAAAAAAAATCTAAGCACAGACAGATTCACAACCTGGGATAAATGTGTCAGGGGGAGGAGTCCTGGGGTTAGGCTAGGCCATGGGCAAGCTCCTGGGCACCTCTACTTCTGAACTGGGGGACAGAAGCCAGACTTGTTTCACGTGGCTCCTGTGGGGACTGAGGTGGGGCATACACAGCTTGGGACCTGCAGCAGGTGCGTCACCAAACCAGGAATAGCAGGAAATGACCCCAGACCAATAAAGCGCACATATGAAAAGGCCAGAGCTAAGAGCACACTTGATGGAGGAAGACTGAAAGTTTCTCGTTTACATTCAGGAATAAGAAAAAGATGCCTGCTTCTGCCTCCTGTTCAGTGCAGCGATGGCAGTCCCAGCCAAAGCATTTGGGCAAGAAAAAGAAATGGAAGGCATCCAAGGAGGAAAAGAAAGAATCACATGATCTCTGCTTCAAGACAACATGATTCCCATATGTAGAGAATTCTGAGAGAGAGAGAGAGAGAGAGAGAGAGAGAGAGAGAGAGCTCAGCAAAACTGGAGGATAATAAAATCAACACAGCCAGATGGAGTGGACACACCTTTAATCCTAGCACTTAGGAGGCAAAGGCAGGCAGATCTCTGTTCAAAGGCCAGCCTGGGATATACAGAGAGACCTTTTCTCAAAAATAAAAAAATAAAACAAAATAAAATCACACAACTCTCAGTTGCATGTCTATGTACTAAGAATGAGCAGTCCAAAAAAGGAAATTTAGAAATTAATCCTAGGGTTGAGGAGATGGCTGGGTCAGTAAAGTCTTTGTCTTACAAGCATGAGGACCTGAGTTTGATTCCCAGGACCCATGTAAAAATAAATCAGGTGTGGTGGTGAGCTAGGGTGGTAAAGACAGGTAGATCCCTGGGGCTCCCTGGCCAGGCAGCCTAGCCCATTTGGTGAGCTCCAGGCCAGTGAGAGGCCCTGACTCAAAAAAGAGAAACAAGTCTGGATGTGGTGGTAAACACCTTTAATCCCAGCACTCAGTAGGCAGAGGCAGGTGGATCTCTGTGAGATCCAGGCCAGCTTGGTCTACAGAGCAAGTTCCAGGCCAGCTGGGGCTACAGGGAGATCCTGTCTCAAAAACAAACAAACAAACAAGAAAAAAAGGAAGAAAAACAAGGTGGATGGAGCCTAAGAAGGAATGGTACCTGAAGATGTCCTGTAGTCTACATTCACACACACACACACACACACACACACACACACACACACATATACACATACAGCACACATACATACACATGACATACACACATGCACACACAACACACATACACACATATGCTCATACACAAACATATATACACATAAGCATGCATATACATGCATGTAAATATACACTATATCACATACACAAACTACATACACACATACGCACTGTATGCACATACATGCACATGCTCATACATACACACATTCATACAGACACATACTATGCACTATAAACACAAACAACACACACACTATAGACACATCCATGCACATACACACAATATACACACACTATACATCTATATACACACTCTGTATACCCACATACACATACTATACACACACATATGCTATACATACATGCGATACATACATATACACATGCACATGCTTACACACAATACCCCTTGTGCACATACAAACATACACATACACAAACACACTCATACACAGCCTTGCCACATACACTTATACACAACCTCCTCTGTGTGCACCTACACACACACAAAAGAGGAAATGATAAATTATCTGAGGCACTCAAGCAGACAAACTGACAGTGGTGGAGTGGGGTTGCCGGAGGCAGGGATTACGAGAGTGGGAAGTTGTTCAACATTAGTCATAGAACTTCAGTTTCACAAGATGCAAAAGTTTAGAAGATGGGTTTCACAACCTGTATGCACTTAACACTACTAAAGTACACATTTAAAAATCACTGAGAGGGCTGGGCATGTGGCTTGGTTGGTAGAGTGGGTGCCCAGTGCACAGGAGGCCCTGGGACTCATCCCCAGCACTGTATAAAACTGGACTGGAGAGATGGCTCCGCTGTTAAGAGCACTTGCTGCTCTTTCAGAGGATCAGAGTTCATTCCCAGCATCCATTTTGGGCAGCTCACAACCTCCTGTAACTGCAGCTCCAGGGGATGTAACAACCCTCTTCTGGCCTCCAAGGGCACTGCACTCACATGCACGTGCACACACACACACACACACACACACACACACACACACAATTTAAAAATAAAATTAATCTAAAAAAATAAGGTGCTAGGCTGGACATGTGGAGCATACTTGTAATCACAGGAGTTGGGAGGCAGAGGCATGTAGATCTCTGTGAGTTCAGAGCCAACTTGGGCTACAAAGAGAGTTCCAGGCCAGCCAGGGCTACATAGTGAGACCCTGCCTCAAAAAAGCCAAAAATAGATATAAATGAGGTGCTGGAGGTGGTAGTACATATCTTTAATTCCAGCACTTGGGAGGCAGAAGCAGGTGGACCTCTGAGAGATCAAGGCCAGCCTGGTCTACATAGAGACCCTGCCTCAAAAATTAAAAAAAAAATCTATCTCCATTAATGTTGTGGAATTTTGTGAGTTTTTTCGGGGGACTTGGAGGGGGGGTTGAGACAGGGTCTCCCTGTAGCCCAGAACTCACTATGTAGACCAGAGATCTGCCTGCCTCTGCCTCCCAAGAGCTGGAATTAAAGGCATGTGAATTTTGCTTCTTTGTTTATTTTGTTTTGTTTTTTTGAGACAAGATCTCCCCATAGCTCCAGCTGGCATGGAACCCAAATAGATCAGGCTGGCCTCCATCCCATAGAGATCCACCTGTCTCTGCCTCCTCAGTGCTGGAATTAAAGGTGTATGCCATCACACCCAGATTTTTTTTTAATTTAATTTCTTATTGTGGGGAGTGCACATGCCAAGCATATATGTGATGGTCACAGGACAACTCTGTGAAATCAGTTCTCACCTTCTTTTATATGGGTTCCGGGTATTGAACTCGGGTCTCCAGGCTTTCATGGCAAGCGTTTTTACCCACTTAGCCATCTCACCGTCTCCTTCTCTAATGAACTTTATGAGACACAGCCACTCCTGCTTCAAGGCAGTGAGTTCCATTTCTCAATGGTATGCTTGTTCCCAACCAAACTTGCACCAAAGTTTTGAAATGCCCAGGTCACAGGTGGTGGCAGAGTCTACCAACCTCACTCCTGACCCCAGAGCTTGACCTTGTTCCTAGAGAAGTACTAGAATCCCTGACATGTGCATGTAGAGCCATGAGCAGTTGACTCTGAGGACTCTGATCATCATGGCTGAGGTGACAGTATTCCTGGGGCTCCACATGCCCACTGCACAGACAGGGAGCCAGTCCCCAGCACCCTAGAGCCAACACTTCCAGGTGGAGCCAGGTCAAACTACACCCATGGCTAATTGCTATGCAGGCCCAAGGGCACTCCTTCCTGGCCACAGTAATGTGGCCTTTCTGGTAGACTTACCCAGAAGGCATCTCTAGGCTGAATGTCTGGTGTCAGGACTTCCTACAGATGGGACAAAGACGGCTATTCCAGGAAAGAAGTGCCATGGTTCCTCCTGAGCATGAGTTTACCTAGACCCTAGGGGACTCAGCACCTGTTCACCTACTGACCATTCACAGAGACAAGCAAACCAGGCAGCCAGGGTTTCAGGCTCTTCAAATAAAGGAGCTAAATAAAGGGAGGGGCCTCACTGTACCTTCATCCCAACCTGCATGGCTAGTAGTGCCTGAACTTTGCTCTGATGTGGCCAGAAAGGACTGACGATGCCAGGGGGATTCTAGGCAGGTGTCTAGCACTGAGCCACACCCCCAGCCCCTCAATGGGAAGTTCTAGATAAGCAGCCTACTGATGAGCCACACCTCAGATTTAAATCTGGGAGAGAGGGGGTTGTTCAGATTCTATTCTTTTCCTTTTATACCAAAACAGCTTATAACTGGCAAAATTCATAGGCCCCACTGCAGGCTTCCAGAAAGCACAGCTTGGGAGTTGGAATCATGCTCCCAGTTCCAGCTCTGTCTCCACCTCTTGGGAATGGCTGAGGTGCATTCCTGACCCAGAGAATGATATATATCTGCCTCCATCCCCTGTGTCCTAGGGTTATAGGCATGTACCACAAGACTGGGTTTATGCAGTACTGGGGATCAAACCCAGGGCCTTATTGCATACTAGGTAAGCACTCTACTTACAGCATGTTAGTGAGCTACAGCCCCATCCCAGTAACACGCACCTTCAAGGTCTCCCCGTTGTGATGCATAAGAAAGGCCATAACTGCCGCACTACTGCGGCTGATGCCCTGGGTGGAAAAGACCAGGATGACAGAGCTGAGCTGGAGGTGAAGTTCTGCAAAAAGAAGGACAGAAGGAATGAAGGGGGTGAGACTGTCCATGGCACTCTTCCCTGTGAACCTGGGGAACCATCAGAAGACTGGCCTTTCTGGGCCCAGTAGTGCAGGGCTGTAATTACAGCTACTCAGAGGCCAAGACGCAGGAAGACAAAGTTCAAAGCAAATCTGACCCCAAATAAAAAAGCAAAATAAGACCTAAGGTTCCTAGACTCCTCCAGTGAGGGGCTGGGGTGTGGCTCAGTGCTAGAGCATCTGCCTAGAATCCCCCAGTGAGGGGCCAGGGGTGTGGCTCAGTGCTAGAGCACCTGCCTAGAATCCCCCAGTGAGGGACTAGGGGTATGGCTCAGTGGTAGAGCATCTGCCTAGAATCCCCCAGTGAGGGGCTGGGATGTGGCTCAGTGCTAGAGCACCTGCCTAGAATCCCCCAGTGAAGGACTGGGGGTGTTGCTCAGTGGTAGAGCACTTTTCTAGCCTGTTTTCCATCCTGGTTGCATTCCCAACTTTGAAAAAACTATTAAAAAGTAAAAATGGCCATTTGCTGGGTGATTAATAGGTGTTGAGGCTATAATGCTACCTCCAACCTCCAACTGTCTGTGCAATGGCTCAGGCTGTTAGTACCAGGCAGGCAGCTATGAGTTCTGGCCCCTGACCCAACTGTCTTTGTGTGGGGACCTTGTTCTTCTTGGTCAACCCTGAGCCCCAGGACTGACTGAAAAATCCTCCACCCTTGCTAAGCTCAGCAGCTGATGGGCATCACTTATGCCAGGTGGAGGGCCAGATTACAGTGTGGTATACAAATGAAGAATGATGGGAATTGGGGCTGGACAGGCTTTAGGGTACCTTTCTCCCTTCACCCCACTCTACTGACTAGAGCTAAGGACAGAAATGGAGGAAGATGTACTTCGAGGTCCCAGACCATGGCAGAGCAGGTTCCCCAATATCTTCATTGTATGCCCAGTTCAGAAAGACATTTCTAGGGTAAGATCATGGGGTGGTAAGGCTACAATATGGAGCACCACTCCTTCAAGATGCTTGCATATAAATGGCTGAAGGCTCCTGAGAAGCTAGCCTCGTCCAGGAAGCATGTTCACACTTGGCAAGACCTGTGCTCCGTCTTGTAGTTTCCTTCCCAAGCCCCAGGAGTCTAGGTCAGGGACACAGCATGGGACACAGGCAGGGTGGAATCTGACCATGGAATGCTCCTTACCCATGAAGTGACAGATGTGGCGGAAAAAAGGGAGAAGGCTGGCATGCAAAGAATCCTCAATCTTGATATGCAGGAGCTTGTCTTCATTACCTTTGAAACTAATCAGAAGAGTGCGCTGTGCTGAGCAGCAATGTTCACTCAGGAAGTGAACACCACTTACGGCCCTCTGAAGTGAACAAGCAGGAGTCCCAGGGTCCCAGGAAGTTCCTAAAACTTACAAGATTCACAAGGCCCCTCCCCAAGGTTATACAGGCAGGATAGGGAACAGAGACACTCTTCAGTGGAGCTGAGCCGCTTGCAAGTCATGCAGGGAATGCCATTGAGATGGCTCAGTGGCTAAAGGTGCTTGCTACCAAGTCTGGAAACCTGAGTTCCATCCCTGAGACCCACATGGTGAAGGAAGAGAATTCTCACAGGTTATCCTCTGACTTCCACATGTGCACTATGGCACGTGTACATCCACACAAATAAATGTATTTATTTTTTAAGTCATACAGGGAGCTAGAGGGACACAGATCTCATGAGTTGTCATCCATGCTAGGGTGAGTTTTGGGTGACGTAGCTGCCTTTCAGTCATTTATGTGCTGTGAGTAACCCCTCCCTCATATTCCTGTAAGTAACCCTAATAAAACAAGTTTGCCAAATTGGACTTTTAGTGGTATCATTATTTTGGTCTGTTGGTTCCCTATCTGGAATGAACAGATGTTTGTTTTGTCTCCCCAGGAAAACTCTCAGAAGCATGGATAATTGGCAGATGTGCACACAGCCCCACCATTGTAACATCCAATGTCCATAGCAGAGGAACTCAAATGAAGGATGCTGGTTGGGCATCAGGACGATGTGAGCTAGTAAAGATACCACCTAGGGGCTGGAGAGATGACTCAGTTGGTAAAGTGCTTTCCGGGCAAGCTCTGAGACCTGAGTTTGATCCCTAACTGTGGTGGCTTGTGTTTCCAATACTAGTGATGACAAGGTGGAGGCAGGGGGATCCCTAGGACTCGCTGGCCAGGCAGCACAGCCTACTTGATGAGTTCCAGGCCAGTAAGAGAATTTGACTCAAGAGAGAGAAAAGGGTGGATAGCTCTTGAGGATGACAGTGGAGGCTGTTCTCCTGCCTGTATTCAGTCACACACTTACCCATACACAAAGAATGCCTGTCATAAAGCATTTACCAAGAATTTGCCAGCGAGGGGCGGGCTGGGGAGTGGCTCAGCAGTAGAGCACTCGTCTAGAATTCCCCAGCGAAAGGCTAGCAGCATGCCTCAGTGGTAGAGTGCTTGCCTCCAATATCCAGTGAGGGCCTGGGGTGTGGTTCAGTAGTAGAGCACTTGCTTGGTTGAGGGGTTGGAGGTGTGGCTCAGTGGGAAAGTATTTGCTTAGCATGCACATGGCCTGGATTCAATCCCAGTATAGAAAAAAAGAATACACTACACTAGAAAACATTTATAAATAAATGATCATAGACTGGGGAAATGGCCCAGTCAGTAAACATATAGTGCATAAGCAAGAGGACCTAAGTTGGAATCCTCAGTGTCCACATAAAAAGTTGGACACAATGGTGTTGTGAATCTGGAACCCCAGTGCTGGGGACACAGAGACAGGTAAGTCCCCAGAGCTTGCTGGCCTGCCAGACTAGCCAGTCAGTGAGTCTCAGGTTTAGTGAAAGACCATGTCTCAAAAAATAAGGTGAGGAAAGACAAAGGAAAAAACCTGACATCAACTTACAGCCTCCATATTCATATACACCCATATGGACACACACGGACACACACACACACACACACACACACAAACAATCTCCCAGTTACTTACTATGGTGTGGTCTCCATGGAGATATTGACATGTGCTTTGATTTTCAAGTCCTTATGCATTTTACGGTTGCAGGCTTGACTCAAATTGCCCAGGAAGATCCTGCCTGGCATTATCTCAACTGGGTATGGCTGAAAGGCATCCAGTTCCTGGGATGGGGTAGGAAGAAAGGTGTTGTAGGTATGTGCCTTAGGGAAGAGGTTTATAATTTGTTTGCTCCTTTGTTTTGTTGTCTCTGGAGAGGTGGCTCTAAAGATAAGCTCAGAAGAGCAATCCTGGGACAGTGCCTGAGACCAAGAGCTTGACTTTCAAATACAATGGCAACTAATAACTCACAGGTAAAAATCAGAGGTCTGGGTGTGAAAAAACTGAACCACAGCATCACAATACATTAATAGGTCTCCTTAGTGACATATTCTTCCTTCCACAGCACCTGTTTACACCTGGCCATGTGCATATAGGTTGGGATTGAGGATCTGTGGTCCAGAACTTGTCTAATTGGGGTTGGATGGGGAGAAACAGTCTTTAAAAAATATTTACTGGCTGGGTGTGGTGGCACACGCCTTTAATCCCAGCACTTGGGAGGCAGAGGCAGGCAGATCTCTGTGAGTTCAAGGCCAGCCTGGTCTACATAGTGAGTTCTAGGACAGCTGGGGCTACAGGGAGACCCTGTCTCAAAAAGAGACAAAAAAATATTTACTAATTTTTTTGCATGTATGAGCATTTTGCCTGCATGTATGTGAGTGCACCACATGCCTGCATTAACCACGGAGGCCAGAAGAGGGTATTGGATCCCCTGGAACTGGAGTTACAGATAGCTGTTAGCCACCATGTAAGTGCTGGGAAGTGAACCTGGGTCCTCTGTGTTCTTAACTACTGAGTCTTCTTTCCAACCCCAGAAACAGTTCTTTTTATTGCAATAAAGAGGACCAGAATTAAACACTTTGCCAGGCATGATAGCATGCACCTGTAATCCCAACACTAGAGATGTTGAAGCAGGAGGATTAAGAGTCCTAGGCAAGCCTGGGCTGCACAGTGAAGCCCTGTCTCAAAAACAAAACCACTCAGAGGCTGGAGAGATAGCTCAGTAGCTAAAAACCCTTGCTGCTCTTGCAGAGGACCTGGGTTATTTCCCAACTCCCCTATCCGGCAGCTCACAACTACCTGTAACTTCAGCTCCAGGGACTTGGCACCCTCTTCTGGCCTCAATGGGAACTGCACACACAATGCACATACAAGCGGAAACATACACATAAATAAAAATAAATTTTAAAGTAAATAAATACAAATGACAACAAACCAAAATACATAAAGGAGACACACATGTATGCAAATCTTCTTCAGAGACTAGCCCCATGTGCAGACCACTGTGCAGCCAGGACTGGCTATGTATCCTGTGTACTCATATTGGGGCCTCACAAACAGCTCATCCTTCAGGCACCTGGTGAATCCCCAGCCTCCATCCTTGACACAGCTACTGTCTTACTCATAGCTTCAGTGCTTCCTGTAGGCAGGACTAGGACTGTTATCTCACCCTGCTTTGTATCCCCTGGCTCCATCTAGGGCTTGAGAGCCAGACAAAAGAGTCTAGGTCTCAACCATGCAGAGATAGCCATGATTCTCCATCTGTACGGGTTAGCTTTTCTTTAGATTTACTTTTATTTATGTGCGTGTGTGCATATATGTCCACATGAGTGTGGTACTCATAGGGGCCAGAAGAGGGTGTAAGATCCCCTGGTGCTAGAGTTACAGAGGTTGTGAGCCTCCTGATATGGGTGTTTGGAACTGAACTCAGGTCCTGTGGAAGAGCAGCAAGTGATCTTAACTGCTGAGCCATCTCTCTAGCCCCAAGGGTTGGCTATCTTATTGCTGAGATGGAATACCTGACAGAGCAATGTAAGGCAGAAAGGATTTATTTGAGTTCATACTTTCAGAGGGTTTGGTCCATGTTGCTGTGCCCCATGAGCTGGGGTAGAACATGCTGGTAGCAGGAGTGTGTGCAGGTGGACATGTTCTTTCCTCACAGTGGACAGGGAACAGGGGCAAGGCAGGGACTAGGGACCAGTGTAGTCTCCAAAGATATGCCCCTGGGACTTGCTTCCTCTGGCTTGATCCAGAAGTTTCCAGAACTCTCCAACATACTGCCACCACCTGGAGACCAAGGTTCTGCACAAGAGTCTACAGGAGACATTTTATTTTCAAACCTGTGTACTTTTGCATCTCTGTGACCAAATATTTGAAAGCCATAACTTAAGGGAAGAAAGAGTTATTCATCCTTTCTGAAACTGTATATTGGTTTATTAAAGACATAAAACTGCAAAGGGAAAAACATCAGTAACTATCAATATGGTAGAAATTAAAATATATAGCTCATGGGGGCTGGAGAGATGGCTCAGCAGTTAAGAACATTGGTTGTTCTTGCAAAAGATCTGGGTTCGAATCCCATAACCCACATGGCAGCTAACAACTGTCTGTAACTCCAGTTCCAGGGGATCTGACAGCCTCTTCTGTCCTCCGCGAGCACTGCATGACATGAGTGCACTTACCTACATGCCAACAATACATGCATATACATAAAATAAATAACAAATAAAAAATATATAAAATATATAGCTCATTATAGGTAGGGTCTGTATATGGAATGCAAAGATGGTTCAATTAGAAATCTAGGGGGCTGGATTTAGTTTAAGATGACTTAGCAGGTAAAGGTGCTTGCAGGAAAGTTCCATGACTTGAGTTTGTTTGATCCCTGGGACACACACGGTGTATCCCTGGGACAATACATCTGTTGCTATGATAAAACACCATGACCAGGGAAGTTACAAAAGAAGAGTTTATGCCAGGCGTGGTGGTGTACGCCTTTAGTCCCAGCACTAGGGAGGCAGAGGCAGGCAGATCTCTGGGGCTACAGGGAGACCCTGTCTCAAAAAGACCAAAAAAAAAAAAAAAAAAGAAGAGTTTATTTGAACTTATGGTTCCAGAGAGATCAGAGTCTGTCATGGCAAGGAGGCATGGTGACGTGGCTGGAGCAAGAGCACAAAGTCAAGCATTCACATCTTCAGGCAGGCACAGGAAGCAGAGTTACTGGAAATCTGGCAACACTTAAGAATTCCCAAAACCTGCTCCCAGTGACATGCTTCCTCTGGCATGGCCACACCTAAAGCCTCCCATAAGAGTGCCAACAAATGGAGACAAAATTTCCAAGTACTTGAAGCCTATGGGGACATTTTCATTCAAACCACACACATGGTAAAAGGAGAGAACCCACTCCTGAGGACTGTCCTCTGACCACCACATGTGTGCATGACACACATGCACCTACTTATAATTAATTAATAAATTAAATTTTAAAAGAAGAAATCTCACTGGGCATGGTAGCACACACCCTTAATTCCAGCAATCAGGAGGCAGAGGCAGGTGGATCTTTGTGAGATCCAGACCAGCAGGGATTACAGGGAAACTGTCTCAACAAGACCAAAAACAAACAAACAAACAAACAAAAACAAAACAAAAAAACCCTCACATGGCTCAGCAGTTAAAAGCACTTGTTTTTTTCCAAAGGACCCAGGTTCAGTTCTCAGCACCTGCATGGTGGCTTACAAGTGTCCGTAACTCTAGTTCCAGGTGATCTGACACTCTCCTCTAGCCTCCATAGGTATTGTACACACATGTGCCCTTACACACATATAGGCCACATAAAAATAAACTTTCATACACATAGAAATAAATAAATAAACTTTAAAAAAGAATTCTAGCAACACTCTTGGCACTAAATCCTGGAGAAGGAACGGTTTTCATTTTGTTTTGTTTTGTCTTTTTGAGACAGGGTTTCCCTGTAGCCCCAGCTGACCTGGAACTCACTATGTAGACCAGGCTGACCTTGGACTCACAGAGATCTGCCTGTCTCTGCCTCCCAAGTGCTGGGATCAAAGGTGTGCCACCATGCCTGGCTGGAAAGGTTTATTTTATCTCACAGTTTCAGAGAGATTTCAGCTCATCATGGTGGGGAAGGCATGGTGGTGGGGGTGGCTCTGATCATGACAGTGGGAAGGAAGAGTCTGTGGTGGAAACTGTTCATATGGCAGAGACTAGGAAGCAGGGTTAACAGGCTTGAATACAACCTTCAAGGCCTGCCCCTAGTGACTCACTTCCACCAACCAGGCCCCACATCCTAAAGGCTCCATGGCCTTTGAAAGTGTTCAAACATGAGCCAGTGGGGGGCATTTCAGATTCAAACCATGCTGGATGTGGTAGCACAGATCTTTAATCCCAGCACTCAGAAAGCAGACACAGGTGAGAATGAGGCCACCTGGTCTACATAGCAAGTTCCAGGCCAGATGGGGCTATAGGGAGACCCTATCACAAAAAAAGAAGGGGCACTGGAGAGCTGGCTCAGCATTTAAGAACACTGGCTACTCTTGCAGAGGACCTGGGTTCAGTTCCCAGCACCCACATTGTAGCTGACAACCATCTATAACTCCAGTTCCAGGGAATCCAATACCCTCTTCTGGACTCCATGGGCACTGTACACTCAGGTACACCTACATACATGCAGGCAAAACACTCATACACATAAAATTAAAAAAAAATAATTATGCCAGACATGGCAGCACACACCTTTAATCCAAGCACATGGGAGGCGGAGGCAGGCAGATCTCTGTAAGATTAAGGTCAGCCTGGTCTAAATAGTGAGTTACAGGCCAGCTGGGGCTACAGGGAGATCCTGTCTCAAAAAGACAAAAAAATTTAAACCAGATGTGGTGGTACACGCCTTTAATCCCAGTACTGTGGAGGCAGAGAGTTCTGGCCAGCTGGGGCTATAGGAAGTTTCTCTCTCTCTTTCTCTCTTTCCCTCTCTCCCTCTTTCTTCCCTTCCTCTCTCTCTCTCCCTCTCTCTCTCTATAGGGAGGGAGAATCATATAGCTATCTCTCCCTCTCTCTATATATATAATTTAATTTAAAAAAAAAAACAGATTCAAGCCAGGCATGGTGGTGCACACCTGTAGTCCCAGCACCTGGGAGGCAGAGGCAGGTGGATCTCTGTGAGTTCAAGGCCAGCCTGGTCTACATAGTGAGTTCCAGGACAGCTGGGGCTACAGGGAGACCCTGTCTCAAAAAGACCAAAAAAAAAAAACAAAACCCAGATTCAAACCATGACACTGTCTGACTTGGAGTACTGCCTCTGAAACCACCCCCCCTTGCCGCAAGACCCCATCTTTGATCGTCCTATCATTTGCTAGCTATGAGTCTCACTGTGGGCACCCCTGCCATTCCCGGTTCCTGTCTCCACTTGTCTCCTCTATCTCCTCCATGTCTGTCCTCCCTCTTCTCCTCTTTCTTCCTCCACTCAACCATTGGTTTCCTCTCACCCCCTGCCTTACCTGGGGCATCCAGATGATCTTCTGGGTCCGGAAGAAGTGGTACAAGCCTGAGAAGTACTCATAGCCCCCTCTGAGGATGTAGACAGGTTGGCGGGTGAGGTGGATCAGGATTTTGCCAAACTCCACAGCTGGTCCAGGCAAGAGTTCTAAGAGAGGAGACCAAAGAGGTTGCTATCCCCTGTGTGTTTTTTAGCATTTATCTATCTGAGTGGATGGCCACTGTATCAAAAAAGCAATCCCTCAGAAACCCCAGGCAAGGATAAGGAGAGAGGAAAGTTCAATTAAAAGTTTATTTTTAATAGATTTTGATTTTATTTATTTAAGTTTATTTTTCAGCCAGAGTCTTGCTGTATCTATTTATCTATTTATTTTTGGTTTTTGAGACAGAGTCTCCCTGTAACTCCCAACTGGTCCCTATGTAGATGAGGCTGGCCTCATTCTCAAAGAGATTCACCTGTCTCTGCCTCCCAAATGCTCGAATTAAAGGCATGCACCACCACACCTCACCTTATTTAATGTGTATGAGTGTTTTCTCTGCATGTTATGTGCCTCCATGTCATGCAATGCACATGGAGGCCAGAAGAGGGTGCTTGATCCCATGGAACTGGAGGGTTGTGAGCCACCATGTGAATGCTGGGAACTGAACTTAGGTCCCCTGCAAGAGAAGCCAGTGCTGTTAACTACTGTGCCATCTCTCCAGCCCCTTCTTTTTTTTTTCTTTTTTTAAAAAATTAATGTATATATTTTTTTATTTTTTAGAAGAAGCATTTCATTACAACTTTAACATAATAACAATTTCCAGAGCAAAGATACATCTCTTTCAAAAGTGGCTATAAAATTTTTAGGTTCACAGTTGAATTAATATAGTTATATAATATTGAACTCAGTGTAAACCCTGTAAGACATAAAATTGAATGAGTTTTTAACCTTTAAAAAAGATCTCCATTTCACTTTAGAATATATTGTTCCTTGCAGAAAGACTCATTGTTTTTGCTAATAACACTTAGATGTTGGCACATGCATCTCTAATCTGTATGTATCTGATTATTACTAGTCATGGTCGGTTGCCCTCCGATCTTTGACACCTGTATATGGATATAAAGTCATCAGGTAGATTTCAATGGTAATGTTTATCACCTCTACTACTTCACATGATGTATATTTTTATGCTTCCTCCTCAACTATAATTCATTTTTAAAATTTGTTGATTTTTTGTGTGTGTGTATCACACAGAACATCCCAAACAATCCTATTCGTCTATATACCCACTTCCCAGATGGCACCCTCCCATAGCCTCCCCCAACTAGAGCCCTTTTCTCTGTCTTCCCTGCTACTGTCTGCTGTGTTGTTGGCACCCCCAGCTGTTCCCCAGTACTTGTCCATCCAGTGAATCTAGTCAGCCTATCTAGAGGTCTTTGATTTAGGAGGGTCAACCGTTCCTCATCTAGCAGCAATCAGTTGTCACTATTCCTTTAGATAAGATTGGGGTCTGTTGTTCATTTTCCCAGTTTTATGCTGGGTTACTATCTGGGAGTCTCTTGGGCCACCCTGGCCAACAACTCAAAAGAAGGTATCTCCTATCTGGCATTGTTTCTTGTTATGTAGCCTTTAGCTAAACATATGGACTCTAAAAAAAATTATATTTGCCCCTTTAATCTTTGGTTATACTTTCCTCTTTGGGTGTTTAAGGCCATGTAGTAGGCCCAGATGAATCAATCTATTTTTACTCTTAAGGCTGTTATTTTTTTTTAATGTGTATGAGTGTATTGCCTGCATGTATGTGAGTGCACCCGTGTCGTGCAATGCCACAGAGGTCAGAAAAGGGTTTCGCATTCCCCTGGAACTGGAGTTAAAGACGGTTCATAGGCGCCATGTGGGTGCTGGGAATCAAACCTGGGTCCTCTATAAGAGCAGTCAGTGCTCTTAACCACTGAGCCATCTCTCCAGCCCCTTTATTTTTAATTATGTGTATAGGTTTGTTTCTGTATGTGGGTTTGTGCATGTGAGTGTAGGTGCCAGAGGAGGTCCTGGAGCTGGAGTTACAGGTGAGCGACCTGACATGGGTGCTGGGAACTAAACTCAGGTTTTCTGCAAGAGCACCTGCCATTGCTCAAGCCCTTGCTTTTTAAACTTTCATTTATTTATTTGTGTGTGTGTGTGTGCTTGAGTATAGATACACATATGTGCCATAGTGCATATGGGGATGTCAGAGTACAACTCTCAGGGGTCAGAAGTCAGTTCTCTCCTGCCTCCTTGTCAGATCCAGGAATCAAACTCAGGCTGTCAGCTGTCAGTTCTGCTCACAGGCACCTCTACCCTGAGCCATTTTACTGCCTCTGGTTTTGTTTTTGTTTTTATTTTTTTGAAGACAGGATCTCCTTGTAGCCACAGCTGGCCTGGAACTCACTATGTACACCAGGCTGGCCTTGAAACTCACAGAGATCGGCCTGGCCTCTGCCTACTGAGGATTGAAAGCCTATGTCACCACACCTGGACACCTGTTCATAACTCCAGTCCCAGGGGATCCAACAGCCTCTTCTGACCTCTGAGGGCATTGCACGACATGGGCGCACTTACCTACATGAAGGCAATACACACATACACATAAAATAAAAATAAATAAATTTTTTAAAAGTTCTTTAAATATTTTGTTTTTTATTTTATGTGTAACATGAGTATATTGTGTGCATGTGTATAAATGCACCCATGTCCTGCAATGTCTGCAGAAGTTAGTAAAGGGCATTGGATCCCCTGGAAGTAGAGTTATGGTTGGTTGTTAGCCACCATGTGGGTTCTGGGATTTGAACCTGGGTCTTCTGCAAGAGCAGCCAGTGCTCTTAATCGCTGAGCCATCTCTCCAGCCCCCTTAAAAAAGTTTTTAAAATCTGGGACTACAGGGAGACCCTATCTCAAATAGACAAAAAAAAAAAAAAAAGAAATGTTTTAAAAATTTTATTTTAGGTGTATGAGTGTTTTGCCTGCATGTAATTGTACCATGTGTATACAATGCTCCAGGAGGCCAGAAGAGGGCCTCAGATCCTCTGGAACTGGAGTTACAGATGCTTGTTAGCTGCCACGTGGGTGCTGGGATTCAAACCCAGGTCCTCTGCAAGATCAGCCAGTGCTCTTAACTGCTGAGCCATCTCTCAGTCCCTGGTCTGTGGTCTACAAAGATTCCAAAGTCTATACATTCTCATCAACACTTGTAATTACCTGTCCTTTTATTATGCCCATCCTAGCATGCCCATCTTTGTTGTTTGATTTTGGTTTTGAGACAGGGTCTTGCACAGGCCTGAATGTTAGGGTTACAGGCATGTACCATTATGTACGCTCTTTTAAATTTTTTATTTGTTTATTTATTTACTTATTTATTCACTTGTATGTGCACGTGTGTGTGTGTGTGTGTGTGCGCGCGCGTGTGTGTGTATGTCACTCACACCATGCTGTGTATGCAGTGGTCAGAGGACAACTTGTGGGAGTCAGTTCTCTCCTTCCACCATGTCAGTTTCAGGGATGAAGCTCAGGTCATCAAGCTTGGCGGCAATCTCCTTTACCTGCTGAGCCATCTCACTGGCCTTCTTTATATGGATTTGATATTAATTTAACTTCAAACACCTTCACTGAATCATAATTAGGCCACGTCATGGTTAATTTCATTATCAACTTGAATGGACTTACAATCACCTAGGAGACAGGGGAGAATACCAATGGGTGTGTCTGTGAGGATTATTTCTAGAAGAAAATTAACTGAGGAAGGTCGGGGGGAGGCTAGAATGGAACAAAAAGAAAAAGGAGGGCTGGTGAGACGGCTCAGTAGGTGAAGGGGCTTGCTGACAAGCCTGACCACCTGAGTTACATCCCTGGAACCCAAATGGTGAAGGAGAGAACCAACTCCCACCATTGTCCTCTGACTTCCACATGTATGTCATGGCATGTGTGCCTATGCACACACATACATGTACACACACATATAAATAGAGGGGGGAGTTAGCCTTCAGAGCACATATATTTCCTTCTCTCTGCTTTCTAGTTGATCATGAAGTGAACTGCCTTCTCTACCCTACTCCCACCACCATGATATTCTGCCTAGGCACATGATGCCAATGACCATGGCTGAACCCTCTGAAACTGTGAGCCAAAATAAACCATTCCTCCCTTAAGTTGTTTTTGTCAGGTATTTTGTCTCATAGCATGAAAATAACTAATATAGCCAGGCATGGTGTCACACGCCTTTAATCCCAGCACTTGGGAGGCAGAGGCAGGTGGGTCTCTGTGAGTTCGAGGCCAGCCTGGTCTCCATAGCAAATCCAGGCCAGCTAGGGCTACAGGGAGACCCTGTCTCAAAAAGACCAGAAAAAAAAGAAAAGAAAAGAAAAAAACTAATACAGACCACATGCAACTTAGATGTCTGGGATATAAAGTCTGCATGATTCTGACACAGCCAAGACACCCAGACCTGGGTTCTGGTAGCACACCCTGGAGAGCCCAGCAGCAGGAAAAGAACACGGGTGCTCATCTCTAAACTGAACTTCTAGGGAGATGGCTCAGTAGGTGAAGTGCTTATCATTCAAGTGCGAGGACCTGAGTCTGATCCCCAGAATCCACATAAAAAAGTAAGCCCAAATCCCTGCAAATATAGTGTCAAAGCCCGCCCCCAGTGATGGCTTCTTCTAGCTAGGCCACATCTTCTAAAGGTTCCATGAGCTCCCCAAACAGGCCACAAACTCACCAAGTGATCAAATATATGAACCACTACTTTCAAACCCCCACACTGACTCAGCAGCTAATGGTACTGGTCACCAAACCTGACACCCTGAGTTCAGTCCCCAAGGCCCACATGGTGAAGGGAGAGAACTGACACCCACGGGCTGACCTCTGACCTCTGACCTCCACATGTGCACCATGGCGCACACACAAATAATTTTTAAATAACAATAATTATAAATAGTAATAAAATTGCCTGATGAACGACACCTCTGGCTCCACACCCACACCCACACATGTGCACCCATATACACAGAAGTACATGTGTACACAATTAAATAAACTGGGGAGGAAAAATTAATTAACTGAATTAAATAAAATAAATTTCTATTCTTGGAGACAAGGATACTTCCAGAAGGGACTGTGTGGGCCCTAAGTGGTTTGGAACCTATCTGGAGGGTGAGCCTGGGTCTATAATCAGGCCAAGACAGAAGGCTTGACAGGCTCAGAAGTCCTAGAGTCCAGACATTAGGTCACAGGGTACCAGTGGTGTCCCTCCTGAGCAACAGACTAGTGGGTCAGAGGCCTCAGGGGTATTGGTAGAAGTCCCAGACCACATCTAAGCTGTTACCTTTAGTCCAGACAGCTGAGGGTGATGGCACACACCTTTTAATTCCCTCAGCACTGCTTAACCTGAGCATGGTGGTGCACACCTGTAATTACAGCACTGGGGAAGTGAAGACAAGAGGATCAGGAGTTCAAGCTCATCTTCAGCTACCCAGGAGGTCAAGACAAGCCTGGGCCACATGAGATTCTGACTCAAAGCAAACACCTAAAAACTGTAGCCAATGGGATCAGTTAGGGGAAAAAAGGCATTTTCTGGCCCTTTCTTAAGGGCCAGACCACCTAGAAAGAAAGTCTTAATTGCTAGTGTGTTAAAGATGTATGTATGCAGCCAGTCGTGGTGGTGCACAGCTTTAATCCAAGCACTTGGGAGGCAGAGGCAGGTGGATCTCTGTGAGTTCCAGTCCAGCCTGGTCTACATAGCAAGTTCTAGGTCAGCTGGAGCTACAGAGACCCTGTCTCAGAAAAAAAAAAAAAAAAGTATGCTTAGTGCCACCCAGTGGCAGGCGGCACCAATAGCCACCTCCAGAACGGCATCTAGAAGAGAGCAGTAGTTTCAGGGATTTAATTAAGCATTTTGGAACTGAGCATCCATGGCTTTGTGTTTTTCCAAAATTATTTATTTATTTATTTACTTATTTGTGTATGTGCGTGCGTGTGCGTGTGTGTGTGTGTGTGTGTGTGTGTGTGTGTGTGTGTGTGTGTGTGGTGCATGTGTAGTGGTCAGAGGACACCTTTCAGGAGTCAGCTTTCTCCTTCCACCATATGGCTCCCAGGGATTAACTCAGGTCATTAGGCCATCTTGCCAGCCCTCAACTATTATTCTCACCACTGTTGTAAAAATCTACCCAAAGGGCTGTAGATGCTGCTGGGTTGGTATAGTACTTGCCTAACACACAGAAAACCCTGAGTTCCATTCTTAGCACTGCAATCATCCAGGCATGATCACACACACTGGTCATCCCAGGGACATAGAGGCTGGAGGACTGGAAATTTAAGGTCCCCCTCTGCTACATAGCAAGTCTGGTGCCAGCTTGAGCTACATAACATCCTATCTCCAAAACAGGGGAGGGGCTGGAGAAATGGCTCAGTGGTTAAGAGTACTGGCTGTTCTTGCAGGGGACCTGGGTTAAATTCCCAGCACCCACGTGGCAGTTAACAACCATCTATAATAGTAACTCCAGTTCCAGGAGATCCAATGCCCTCTCTGGCCTTGGCAGGCATTGTACATACATGTTACACATACATATATGCAGGCAAAATACTCATAAAATAAAAATATATAAAATCTTAAAACAGAAAGAACCCACCTGGGATATGCTGACCAGATTTCTTGTCATCATCTTCATCCTCCTCCTCACTGCATCTCATGCACAGCTCCAGGGTTCTGGTGTTGCTGTCGTACACGATGCAGTATCTCACACAATCCAGTTCCACAGACTCAGGAATGAGGTACTGGTCCTCCTTCTAAGGGAACCACACAGAGACGTGATGGTGGGTAGTTCAACTGAGTACATGTTCTCTGCATACCACTCCTTAAGGTGGCAGTCTGTCCTCTTTCCTTTGAAAACACATGGGTTTCAAATACTCTGAATAGACTGGAGAGTCTTTTGAATCCCAGAGGACTTCAATATCCATCATCAAGAAGGACTGGCTGCCAGGTGACTGAACCAAGAAGAAATTGCCTGACCAGAGAATAGCTGGTTCAACGAAGGGCTCACAGCCCCTTGGAGGGACTATGGCTAGAAAAATGACATCCTGCCCAGTGGGGAGAGATGTCAGCAGTGGACTCAAACCCAAAACCACTCATGAAAAGGAGGATAAGAAGTCCTGCATTCCCAAATGTCACCAGGAGGACCATGAGTGCAAATGCAATGCTATGATAGCAGGGATTTGGGCCTTTGTTTAACCACTAATTGCATTAGTAACTTCTCTCATTGCTATGACAAAATGCCTGACAAGAGCAACTTAAATAGGAAGGGTTTATTGTGGCTCACAGTTTGAGGGCACAGTTCATCATGGTGGGAAAGCATGGTGGCAGGAGTGTGAGACTCAGCTGCTCACATTACATCCACAGCCAGGAAACAGAGAGAGTTGAGTGCTGGTGCTCAGCTCATTTTCTCCTTTTTATTTAGTCCAGGACCCCAGCCCAGGAATGTACTCCCCACATTCAGGGTGGGTCTTCCCTCCTCAGTTAACCCAATATAGAAACTCCCTCACAGACAAGCCCAGGCATTTGCCTCCAAGATCATTCTAGAGCCTGCCAAGTTGACAATATTAACCATCACATGAATGTGTCTCAAATGCACGGTAGCACATAAATGTATGTGTCCTATGAATGGCTAAATGGTGAGAGGAGGCTCTGAGGCAGAAAGGTGTTAGTGAGTGGTAGAGTCCAGGAGTAACTGGCTCACCACAATATGGGATTGAACAGTGCGAACAAAAGATGCTGTTGTGGTTTGAATATGGAATGTCTCCCACAGGCTCATGTGTTTAAATCCTTGGTCCCCAGCTGACAGCTCTGTTTGGGGAGGTTGTGGCACCTTTTTCAGGTGGAGCCTCACTGGGGGAAGCAGGTCACTGAGATGGGCTCTGAAGTCTGGCCCCATTCCTGTCTGCTTTCTGCTTTCTGACTATGGCCACAATGTGACCCATTTGCTCACACTCCTGCCACCACACCGTCCCTGCAAAGATGAACCATACAGTCCTCAAATTGTGAGTCAGAATAAATCTTTCATTCCTTAAGGTACTTCTGTCAGGTATTTTGTCACAGCAAGAAAAGTTTCTAGGGGGCTGGAGAGATGGCTCAGTGGTTAAGAGCACTGGCTGCTCTTTTAGAGGACTAGGATTTAGTTCCCAGCACCCATATGGCAGCTAACAACTGTCCATAACTCCATTTCCAGGGGATCCAATGCTCTCTTCTGGCCTCCACAGGCATTGCACAGCACAGGTGCACTTGGAACAATGCATGAAGGCAAAACCCTCATACACATAAAATGAAAATAAATTTTAAAAAAGATTTATTAAGGGACTGGAGAGATGGCCCAGCGATTAAGACCCGGGTTCGAATCCCAGAATCACATGGCAGCTAACAACTGTCCCTAACTTCAGTCCCAGGGGATCTGACAGCCTTTTCTGACCTCTGTGGGCACTGCATGACATGGGTGAACCTACATGCAGGCAATACATGCATACACATAAAATAAAAAATAAAAAAAAGATTTATTAAAAAACCCAAAAGGTATGAGCTAACTTTATATATATATATGTATGTATGTGTGTAAAGATGTTGAATGCTAAGGTAATGGGGTCACCTAGGGAGGGGATGAGGTCACTGGGGAAGAAGGAGGTCACTGGGGAAGGAGGGGCTAATGTCCCCTAGAGAAGTATGCAGTCTCACAGTACTGGATCTGCTCAGAACCCTAAAAGAGATCCCCAAACTCAAGGTGCCCTGACACAATGACAGGTGGAAATGTGGCCCTCTCTCATTGTCACTGTCCCCCCATTGACCTGCAAGACTAATGGGAACCTGAGCCCTACTCTGTTGCAGCCTGGTCTGGCTGATGCACAAATCTCAACTAAAAATCCCCACACAGAAGGCATCCAACAAGTGACAACCTACTCTATGGAGTTGAGTTCAAGGCAGGAAGATGAGGACCATAGAAGGGAAGGCCTGACCAACAAGGTTCTCTGGGACTCAAAAGGGGGAGATCCTGTTTGTCCAGAAGATCAAAAGAACATTTGAGAAGATGTACGTTATAGGGTATGGTGTGCACACCAGTCATTCTAACACTCAGGAGACTGAGACAGGAGGATTCTGAGGTCTAGGCTACCCTAGGTTACATACCAAGAGCCTGGCTAGAAATAAGGGCTGGAGAGATGGTTCATCAGGTAAACAGACTTGCCACCAAGTCTGATGACCTGAGCTCAATCCCTGGGGCCCACATGGTAGAAGGAAAGAACACAGCATACAAGTTGTCTTCTGACCTCCACATGCATGCTGTGGCACACTCATGCTACCCCCACAGAGAAACAAGTAAATGTCATAATAAATGGCTGGAGATAGCTCAGCAGTTAAGAGTGTTTGCTGTTCTTGCAGGGGACTGGAGTTCCGTTCCCAGCACTCACATCATCAGGCAGCTCACAACTGCCTGTATCTCTGGCTCCAGGGAAATCTGACATCTTCTTCTGGCCTCTGTGAGCCCTGCACTCATGTGTGTACATACACAAACACACATATATTCACATAATCTTAAAATAATAAAAAAGTTTTTTAAAGAGCTGGAGAGATCACTTAGTGTTTAAGAGCACTGGCTGCTCTTCCGGAAGACCCAAGTTTAGTTCCCAGCACCTAGATGTTGGCTCACAATGGTCTGTAACTCCAGCTCCAGTAGATCTGATGCCCTCTTCTGGCCTCCATAGGTATTACATGACATGGATACAATTACATACATGCAGGCAAAACACTCATACACATAAAGATAAAAAATAAAATAGCTTTCTTAAAAATCATAAGGTGGGGGCTGGAGAGATGGCTCAGCAGTTAAGAACACTGACTGTTCTTGCAGAAGACCTGGGTTTGAATCCCAGCACCCACATGGCAGCTAACAACTGTCTGTAACTCCAGTTCCAGGGGATCTGACAGCCTCCTCTGTCTTCCAAGGGCACTGCACAACATGGGTGAACTTACCTACATGTAGGCAATACATACATACACATAAAATAAAAATAATAGGTGAAGTGGCACATGCCTTTAATCCCAGCACTTGGGAGGCAGAGGCAGGAGGATCTCTGTGAATTCAAGGCCAGCCTGGTCTACATAGTAAGTTCCAGGACAGCTGGGGCTACAGGGAGACCCTGTCTCAAAAAGACCAAAAAAAAGGAATAATAATAATAATAATAATAATTAATTAATAAATAAAATTTTTTGGTCTTTTTTAGACCGGGTCTCTCTGTACCCCCAAGGTGTCCTGGAACTCATTATGTAGACCAGGCTGGCCTTGACTCACAGAGATCCACCTGCCTCTGCCTCCCCAGTGCTGGGATTAAAGGCGTGCAACACCACGCCCAGCTAAATAAAATATTTTTATAAAACATAAGGTGGATAGTGATAGAGGAAGAAACCCACCATTGACCCTCAGCCTCCTGAGGGTCACACACATGCCTACACACACAGGCACACACACACACGCACATATACACGCCTGAGCATAGACAGGAAGCATCTGAGATGAGGCAAAGAAGAGTGGGCATGTGCCAGCTGGGCAAGGGTACAAGGGCTGGGGAATATTTCAAGCAGAAGGAATAGCTTCTATCCACTGGTACTGGCCAACAAATGCATACAGGCCACCTACCAGATGCCAGAGACTAGATAAGCAAAGTAGACCCACCACCATGCTTAGAGCAAAGGCCCGAAGGACCAAGAGAGCAATATGTGAGGGACTTACCTCCTAGATTGTAGACGCCATTGACTGTAAGAGGCGCTGTCCATTTAATAATGGTAGTAACCAGAGGTGACCCCCGTGGGAGGGACACATGGGACTTATGCCCTTCCTGTGTCTCCCAGGAGGTTCCCACCCTTCTGCAAGACTACACTGTGCTCCACCCAACTCTGACTCAGTCCAATACCTTCTTCACTCGGCGGGCTGTGATCACGTGACTTTCGTCATATTCTCTTTTGGTTCGAACATCTGGGAAGGAAAAGGATTTAACTCAGAACTAGATTTGTAAAGGAACAGGGGATGAAATTAGAGTACTTAGATCCATCACCCACAGGTAGCTAGGGGATTTACTATCCATTTGAAACACAGCAGAGGACCCGAGTTCAGTTCTCAGCACCCACGTGGAGGTGAACTACCACCTGTAACTCCAGATCTCTCTCTCTCTGTCTCTGTCTCTGTCTCTCTCTCTCACGCACACACACACACACACACACACACACACACACACATACAGACACACATGTAATAAAATAAAACACAGTTGTGATTCTAGCATTTATAGTGGTGGGGGCTGAGGTAGGAGGATTGTGAGTTCAAAGCCAGCCTGGGCTACATAGTGAGACTGTCTCCAAATAAACGTATTTATTTATTTATTTATTTATTTACTTACTTATTTATTTGTGTGTATGCATGTCTTGGCATACATGTGGAGGTCAGGGGAAAACTTACTCATTTTTCTCCTTCCATTATGTGGGTCCCAAAGATTGAACTCAAGTTGCCAGCGTTGGCGGCAAGCACCTTTGCCCACTGAACCATCCTGCCACACCTTAATACATTGTTTTTGACTTCCTAGGTCTATGCCAGAATATTTAGTTTGAATAAGTTATTTACTTGCAGTGGGTATCCCAAAATTCACAGCTTTCAGTTTTGATTTTGCAATACATAAACCATGAGGCCCTATACTGAATGGATTATATCGAATACCAATCCGTAATCTGTATTTGCCTCCACTGATGTGGTTAATCCCTAAATACACATTGGCTACTCTTACATTTAGAACTACGGATATTGATCAGTCAGTAGAGTGCTTGCCTAGCACACATGAAGCCCTGGGTTCCATCCTCAGCACTGTATGGTGTGATGGCTCATGCCTATAATCCCAGCACTCATGAGGTGGAGAAAGGAGGATCAGAAATTCAAGACCACCCTTGGCTACACTGGGAGTTTGAGGTTAGCCTAGGATACATTAGACCCTGTCTTTAAAAAGTACATGCCAGGCATGGTGGCACACACATGCATACGTGTGTGTGGTGGCCCCATGCCTATAATCCCAGTACTCATGAGGTGGAGAAAGGAGGATCAGAAATTCAAGACTACCCTTGGCTACACTGGGAGTTTGAGGTTAGCCTAGGATACATTAGACCCTGTCTTTAAAAAAAAATACATGCCAGGCATGGTGGCACACACATGTACCCACATGTGTGCATGGATTTATGTGCACACATATGTGTGCTGAGGCTGAAGGCTGACATAGGTGTCTTCCTCAATAATTCCGTTTATTCTATCATCTGAGGCAGAGTCTCTCTGAACTTTGGGCTCTTTTTCAGCTAGTCTAGCTGGTCAGCTTGCTCTGTGGATCCCATCTCATCTCTGGAGAGCTGGGATTACAGGCCACAACCAGCTTTTACATGGAAGCTGGGGATCTGAACCCTGGTCTTCAGGATTATGTGACAAGTGATTTACCCTGAGCCATCTTCCCAGCCTAAAGGAGCATTTTGGACCAATCAACTCAACAGCTTTCTAAAGTCATTCATTTCCCCTCTGTAGGTGACTACTCTCAACATATCTGTTGGTATTTGTGTACACTGGTATTAGTGTGTGCTTGTGTTTGTGTATTTGTGTATGCTTGAGTGTGTTGTATGTATGTTTGTGTGTTTGTATTGGTGTGTTGGTATTTGTATGTTTGTGTGCTTGTGTGTTGGTGTGGATTTGTTTGTATTTGTTTTTATGTATTTGTGTGTGTTGGTATTTGTGTGTTTGTAGGTGTTTGTGTGTTTGTGTGTATTTGTTTGCATTTGTATATTTTGTCTGTGTTTGTGTATGTTTATGTGTTTGTGTTTCTGTGTTGGCATTTGTGTGTGCTTGTTTTTATGTATTTGTGTGTGGATGTTTGTGTGTGGGTGTGGATTTGTGTTTGTATGTGTATTTATGTATTTGTAGGTGTTTGTGTATTTGTGTTTGTGAGTTTGTATGTGCATATATTTGTGTTTGTTTTGTGTTTTTTGTTTGTGTGTGCTTGTTTTTATGTATTTGTGTGTAGATGTTTGTGTGCATACTGGTGTGGATTTGTGTTTGTTTTTATGTATTTGATGCATCTGTGTGTATTTGTGTTTATGTGTATTTGCATATTTGTGTTTGTATTTGTGTACCTGTGTGTGTTTATGCATGTGTTTGTTTTTTTGGTATTTATGTTGTGTGTGTCTGTTCTTATGTATCTGTGTGTGTTTTGTTTTTATATATTTGTGTGTAGATGTTTGTGTGTGTTGGCATGTTTTTGTGCTTGTGTTTTTACGTATGTGTATAGGTTTGTGTTTGTGTATGTTTACATATTTGTGTATGTTGGTATTTGTGTTTGTGTTTTTACGTATTTGTGTTGGTGTGTTTTGTACTTACCCAATAAACAGAGGTAGTTGGGTTCACTTAATCTGGACAGTTTTGAGACCTGATTCAAGATGTTATAGAGTTCTGTTGGTTCACAGAAGAGCAACTCAGCCATCCTATTGGGAAAAATCAACAATGTACAAATTTAACATCTTTCTATTTAAGATGAATAGCCAGAAATTGAGATACTTAACACATTTAAACTTAACTCTCTAAGAGATCAGGAAACTGAGGAGGGGGTTGCTGGAACTTTTGCTGCTTTTGAAGAGGACTCAAGTTCAATTCCTGGCACCCACATTATACAGTTCACAACCACCTGTAAACTCCAGCTCCCAGGGATCTGACACCATTTTCTGGCTTCTAAGGGCATTGTACTCATGTGCACATTCACACACACACACACACACACACACACACATAAAAATAAATCTTTTTCTGCTGGTTTTTTTTTTTTTTTTTGGAGATAGGGTCTCACAATGTAGCCCTCGCCAGGCTAGAACCCCCTATGTAGACCAGGCTGGCCTCAATCTCACAGAGATCTACATGCCTCTGCCTCCCAAGTGCTGGAATTAAAGGCATGTGCCACCATGCCTGGCCTAAAAATAAAATAAATTAAAAAAAATTTTTATTATGGTTTGAATCTGAAATGTCCCTGACAGGCTCATGTTTTGAAGTTCCTTTCCTAGCCAGGGTACTGTTTGGAACACTGTAGAACCTTTAAAAAGTTGGGCAGGGCTGACTGACACAGGTGACAGTAGTGGGCCTCTGAAGGTTATACCCACCGGATTCCTGCCTCTCCCTCTGTTTTCTGTTCCTCCTCCTGCCTCACTCTCTGCTTTCTGCTTCTCTGCGACGAGCACACACACTGCTGCTGCCAGAAACTGAGCTGCTCCAACATCATCATGGGTACATTGTGAGCCAAGATAAATCTCCCCTCCCTCAAGCTATTCCTTTTAGGTATTTTGATTACAGTGACCCAGAAACAATTAATACAAAGAGTAAGGGGCTGAGAGGATTGGTTGATAAAGAGCTTACCTCAGAAGCATGAGGACCTGGGGCTGGAGAGATGGCTCAGTGGTTAAGAGCACGCACTACTCTTCCAGAGGACTTGAGATGTGTTCCCAGCGCCCATGTCAGATGTTTTTTTTCTTTTTGTTGTGATAAAATACCATAACCAAAAGCAACTTATAGATCAAAGTGTTTATTTTTGTTTAGGGTTCCAGAGGGATAATAATAATTTTTATTTTTATTCAATAATAATGATTTTAAAAGATCATCATAGGGGCTGGAGAGACGGCTCAGCAGTTAAAAACACTGGCTGTTCTTCCAGAGGACTTCCATTCCCAGCATCCTCCTGGTGGCTAATAACTGTTCATAACTCCAGTTCCAGGGGATCCAACACCCTCTTCTGGCTTTTGTGGGCATTGTACACATGTACTATACTTACATACATGCTGGCAAAACACTCATAACACATAAAATAATAAAATATATAAAAAGATTATCACAGCTGAGTTTGTTGACACTTGACATTTCCTCATAGAAGGAGGGGCAGGTGGGTCACCTGAGTACCCAGCCACTCCTCACAACCAGTTTCATGCAATTCTGCCCTAATTGTACAGGACCTCAGGGAGGAACTAGACATGGGCTAGGAAGGAGGAGGGAAAGGGCAGTCATCTACACAGCCCTGACTTCGGAGGTAAAAAAAAAATCAGAGGCAGTGAGCAGACATCACATTCTTGGAAAGCCATGCTTGAAAAAGCAGATAGACAAGGGGCTGTGGAGATGGCTGCGGAGATGGCTGCATTGTTAAACTACTTGCCTAGCATGTGGAGCTAAGCTCAGATCTCCAGAACACATGTAAAATGCCAGGCGTGGTGGTGCACATCTTTAATCCCAGCACTTGGGAGGCAAAAGCAGGCAGATCTTTGTGACTTCGAGGCCAGCCTGGTCTACATAGTGAGTTCCAGGACAGCTGGGGCTACAGAGAGACCCTGTCTCAAAAAGACAAAAAACAAGAAAAAAGAAAAAAAGCCCAGCACAGTGGCTCATCCTGTTTTCCAGTGATGATGGGATGGGTGTTGGACATAGGCAGGTGCCTGATCTACTTGAAGTTTCCAGCCCAGTGAGAGACCTTGTCTCAAACAGAGGGTAGAAGGAGCTTGAGGAACAATATCTGCAGTTTGTCCTCTGACCTCCACAGGTTTGCTCTGCACGACATACAGAAAGAGAGAGTGAGAGACCTGAGTGACTCCATCTTGGATAAAACCTCTATAGGACTGACCCAGCCCTGGGCCCTGTTCCAAGAAAAACCACGATATTTGGAACAGATAGGGAACAACTCCCCCGCCAACAGTCAATTAACTGGGGACAGGAAAGCACTAAAAGTCCAACTATCTTTTCAGATTTCCTGAAGCCAGCAGTTTATGGTTTGGCACTGAGCTGCAACCAATCAGATGCTTGCCAGGCTGAAGACCCCCTACTCCCCTTCTTGCTGAACTTGCTGAACTAAACCTATAAAAAAAACCTCTGTCTCCCAAAGCAAGGGTCTCACATCTGAGATCCACTGAGTTGGTGACAGAATGGGCCCAAACTTAAGCTTGTAACAATAAAAGAACCCTTGTGTGTTTGCCTCAGTCAGCTCCTTGGTGGTGTTTGGGGTCTCGCAAACTGGGCACAACAAGAGAATGAGAGAGAGAAGGAAAAGAGGAAGGGAAGGAGGGAAGAGAGAGATGAGACAGATTCAATAATATGGATGTGTGCTTAGGAAAGACCCATGTGGGGTTGAAATTGCTGCTGGGTATTGGAGAGCTGGGAGCTGAAGTCTTGAGGAAGAAACTGGCTTTCCTAGGGCACTGTATGGGTAACTCAAGTGGAGCCTGTTTTGAGTAAGGTCACCCTCACCAGACACAATTTCTTCCCCACCTGCCCCTTGCTGGCCCACTTGTAGAACCCTTCTAGAAGGTAGCTTCCCCCACAGGAAGGTGCTATATGGGTCCATCGTGGCCAGGACTCAGGGTCCAAAGAGCAGCCCTATCAATAGTTGCCAGAGCCACCCTGGTACACATCAGACCTGCCCTACTTGGCATGGACTGGGAGGACCCTTACCATAATCCAAAGGGCTGCTCAGCATCCTCCTGTCTCCCCTCAGCTGCAGCTGCACCAAGATGTTCCTAACTTTCTCAGGTACCTAGCTCTCTCCTGTTCCCAAGAGAATAGAGTGCTCCTCCAGCCTCCCTCAGTCCTCCACCTCACCAGACTCCACCCATCTCAGTTTAGCAGTCACATCCTTGAACAGCAGTAAACTGACTGGGTCCCAACTCAGTGACAACTTCCTATCAACCTATGACTGTAACAGCAGAGGTGTGTGTGTGCATGTTGTATATTCCTCAGGAACCTTCCCCTTTTTTTGAGGCAGGGTCTTTCATTGGCCTGGAACTTTGCCATGTAGGTGAGGTGATCTGACCAGCAAGCTTCCAGGGACCTGTCTCCACTTCCCATCTCACTACTACTTGCAAGTGTGTGCCATGATGCCTGGCCTTTTACACTGGGTCTGGTATCAAAATTGGGTCCTCATGCTTTTTTTGAATTTTAAATTTATTTTTCTGTGTGATTTACCTGCATGTATGTAAGTGCACCTATGTGTGAAAGCCCATGAAGGCCAGAAGAGGGCAGCAGATGACTTGGAACTGGAGTTACAATTGTTAGCCTAGTGTGAGTGCTGGGAACTGGACCCAGCTCCTCCATAAGAGTAGTCAGTGATCTTAACCTCTGGGCTTCTCTGAAACCCCAAATTTTACTTATTTTTAAAAATATTTATGTGTATATGAGTGTGTCTATGTGTGGATTTGTGCACATGAATACAAGTGTAGGGAGGCTAGAAGAGGGAGTGGAATCCCCAGGAACTGGAGTTATGGGCAGTTGTGAGTTGTTTGAATGACAAATGGCCCCCAGAGGCTCATGGGTCTGAACTCTTGGTCCCCTGTTAGTGGTGCTGTTTGGGGAGGAACCTGTAGGACATGGAGCTTTGTTGGAGGAAGTCGTCACTGGGGGCAGGCTTTGAGGGTTGATAGCCTCACCCTGCTCCTGCCCCACCATATCTCCCACTTGCTGCTGTGCTGCCCTGCCATGATGGACTCTGTTTAAAAATATATATTTGTATTTTATGTGTATGAGTGTATTGCCTACCTGTACGTATTAAACATGCATGCAATACCTGAAGAGGCCAGAAGAGGGCATCCAATCCCCTGGAACTGGAGTTACAGATGATTGCAGGCCACTGTGTGGGTGCTGGGAACCAAATCTAGGTCCTCTGGAAGAAGAGACAGTGCTCTTAACTGCTGAGCCATCTCTCTAGCCCCAGTGATGAACTGTAGCCCCAGCTGGCCTGGAATTTGCTATGTAGACTGGATTGGCCTCCATCTCATAGAAATCCTCCTGCTTATGCCTCCCAAGTGCTGGGATTAAAGGCATGCATCACAGCACCTAGCTTTGTTGATAATCTTTTTTTGTTTGTGATTTTTAAATTTTATTTTTATTTTATGTGTATGTGTTTTGCCTATGTCTATGTAAATGCATGCAATGCCTACAGAGGCCAGAAGAGGGTATCAGATCCTCTGGAACTGCTTCTATAGATGGTTGTTAGCCACTGAACCCAGGTACTCTGCAAGAACAGTGAATACCCTTAACTGCTGAGCCTTCTCTCCAACCCCCTGTGATGATCTTTTGTAAGCAGGCCTAGCTGAACTCCTGAAATGGCATCTGTCTGGCTCCAAGGATAGTACTGTAGAAGACCAGGGCTACCATGCCAGCCCAGAGGATCCTGATGTAGTGTTGCCCTGTGGGGCCTCTTGCTTCTTGCTTTTCCCTATGTTGTTGCTGTGATTTGAATATGAAATGACCCCCCCCCCCCCCATG